GTAACTTACTAACATGCTTCCAAAATATAACCCCTACAAAGAAACCTAATAGGAGAGGAATCTGAGTAGCGCTGCTCCTGCTCACATTCCATTTATAAATTTGTTTATATTTTTCACTAAAATTAGGCAAAAATTATTAGAAAAGTACATTATAAATTATTTTTATAGCTATTCCAAAATCACTTAAAAGCACGTTATGCTCCTGTATTATCATCACAACTTTTTTTACTTTCAGTTTCATTCAGATGTCTTCCAAGCTTCTCTACAATGGTCCCCTATGTCTTAGAACTGATTCAAACATTTATCAGCTCACCCCATCCCACTTCCAATCTACTAGATTATTACCTCTGCTTCCAAACACACTCAACCCCCTAATCCTAAAAATTCTTCCTTCAATCCTGCTTCCCACTTACTAACAAACATCTGGAAATAGTCTACCTTCTCTCCAAACCCCCCATGTACGATTACTTTAATACTATTTTTTAAACTCCCACCATGAAAATCAGCAATATCTTTTTATTGCCAAATCCAAACATTTCTGTTCAATTCTTGTAACTCTTACTGGCAAAATAGGTGTGTCCCTGCTTGGTCTGGGCTGCCTGACTCCCCTAAAGTTCCTGCCCCTTTTGAGTGCTCTCTCTCACTGCCTGCTTTTGGATCCTCTTTTGCTGTCACCTATTCTAGACTCTCAGAGATCATCCCTGGCAACGTTACCCAGTTTGGTAATTTGGTTATGTTTGTATTTGATGACCCGCTCAAATCACCCTCTCCAGCCCTCATCTCCCTCCTAAGTTTCATATCCAGTGTTCTGTTCCTGCAGACAACAAAAGCTGGATGCCACAAGAACTCTAAAATTTGACATCAAAAAACCAAAACAAGAACAGAAAATCACAAACTTCTCTAATCAATTCCATACATTGCACCCAGAGCTTGGCAAATGTCTAACCACCATGACTAACTGGCTTCCAGCAGAAGTGAAATAAAGGCAATACATAAACCCCTGCCAAGTCTTTCTATTTCATATTTTTTAAGCTCCTCTATTAAGCAATCACTAGCTCTTTTGGTACAAAGCTAAACCATATCTTTCCATAAAAACCTGTTCCTCTTCATTTTTATTCCTATGAAAGCTTTATTCCTATGAAATACTAAAACCTCAGAATCACCTTCTTTTTCTGTTGTATCCCTAGCTTCCAAATGACATATGCCTTTGATAATATTTTTAAGAGCTATGTGATTTATTTTGAAATGCATCCAAAGAATAAGATAGATGTGATAAAGCAAATATAAAGGATGATAATTAGGGGGGGGAAGAAAAAAAATGTACTTGAAAAGTAACTAAATAAAATTAAAAAAAAAAGGATGATAATTATACAGAATCTAGGTGGTAGATATATTCACTGTATAATTCTTTCAACTTTTCTGTATGTTTGAAAATTGTTACAATAAAACATTGGAAAGAAAACCTGATCACATTTAGACATTGTTCAAACACATGCCCTTTGACCCCTCTCTTATGAACTACTTTAGGAGCCTAACTGAGCTCTCTGCTCCCCCATTCCTTGGCATTGTAATCCTCCTCCAAGATAGCTCCCCAATGATCCCTGCCTCCTGGTATTCACATCCTTGTGAACTTGCCTCCCACCTTATACCATGGTTGGTCTCTATGACCAATACAATGGTATACCACTCCTGAGAATAGATTATAACCTCATCTGTGCCTTGCCGCTCCCATCTCAGCATGCATTCTCTACATGACTTATTCTGGGAGAACATGTAAACCATCTAGGGATCTTTGTAAAATGCACATTCTGATTGAGTGGCTCTGCAGCAGGGCCTGAGATACAACATTTCCAATCAGCTCCTAGTTAATGCAGATGCTGCTAGTTCAGGGAGCAAACTACAGGGCTGCAAGTAAGCTGCTGACAAGGTAAGAAAAAAAAGAAAGAAAACTCGGAGAAGTAGATTTCTATTTTTCTCCTGCCATATTTAAACGTGTTATGATAAGAGTCAAGTCTTTGTAGTGGTTTGGTGCAGCACCGTCTCACTATATTCCATTCCACAGAACAGTGCTTCTTAAACACAAATGTGCATACAAAGCACCCGGGTATCCTATTAAACTGCAGCAGGAAGTCTAGACCAGGAGATTCTGCACTTCCAGCAACCTCTAAGCAACACTGAAGCCCCTGGAAGGACCACACTTTTTGAGTAGTAAGGTATTAAAAAAGGCTCCTATACTTTTTTGTTCGTTTGCCATATTTAATTATAGATAAATGTAAGTCTTATTATACATCAAATCCACGGTAAAGTTAAAAGATGAATAACAATCTTAGAAAAAAACATTTGCAACATCCATGACAACATATACTCATATATCTTTTGTGTTCATTTTCTATTGCTGCAAAAATTACAATCCTATACTTTTCAATTTTCAGAAACATCAACCAGATACATAAACCCTTGAAATGGTTCACAAATGCACATTACACATTCCAGCTTCACCTCCAGCTACACCATCACCCACCCTATGTGCATGCCTATGCCCCAACCATACCTTACAACTGTACACAGTCCTAAAATCTTAACTTCTCTAACCTTACTCTGAAAAACACTCTTTAAAAATGTATTCAACTGACAAATATATATTATGAACCTAACACACTTTTGGCAATACAGCAAGCCCATATAGAAGTCGTTAGTTTAATGGTTCTTTCCTCTCTTCCTTCAATTGATCTTCAGTTTGATTTGCCTCTTCATGGGCCAAGCATTTCATCACTCTACTATTGGATTAAAGTCTCACAGGCTATTTAGTCGAGATTTAGACAGAGAAAATATAGACCCTTCTTCACAATTAAACTCTCACTACTACATGTTTTTTCTCACACAATTTTTTAAAGCTATAATGAAGACACCATAAAACCTACCATTTGGAAGTGCACATACAATTCAATTGTTTTCAGTATATTCAAAACTGTGCAATCATCATCACCATCTAATTCCAGAATATTTTCATTACCCCCAAAACAAACCACATAAACTTTATCTGTCACCCCAATGTCCCCAGTCCCCCCAGCCCCTGGCAATCACTAATCTTTCTGTCTCTATAGATTTGCCTATACTGGACATTTCACATAAATGAAATCATATAATATGTGGTCTGTCTGACCGGTTTTGTTCATGTAGCGTGGTTTTCAAGGTTCATCCACATTGCAGAATGTATTGGATTGGCCAAAAAGTCCATTTAAATAAAAGACACATTTTTCATTTTCACCCATAACTTTATTGATTTGGTTATTTGGAGTATGTCAGCCATCTCCTGCATGTTATAACGTTGATTGTTCTCAATTAACCTCGATTTGATTGCTATGAACTTCAACTGGTCTAGCTGACTGCAGTATCATTGTCCAGCGAGAAATCTCCAGCACAAAACTTCGCAAACCACTTTTGACACATTCTGTCGGTTGCAGCACCTTCTCTACATACTGCACAAATCTTTTTGTGTGTTCCAGTTGTATTTTTACACTTCCTTGAAATAATAAAGCATAATATGCCAGAAATGTTGTTTTCTTCCATCTTTAATATTAAAATGGCTACACAAAACATCACCAATTTTTGATACTTTTTAAAACAATGCAAGCTAATATGACAACTGTCGCAGTACAATCTAACAAAATTGTTTCACATGAACTTAATGACAACTAAGCACTACGAGAGCCATCTTATGGAAAAAATCAAACCTCTTGGCCAATGTATTTTGATACAATCAATATGTATCAGTTCTTTCCTTTCTATGGCTAAATAATTCCATTGTATGATTATATCACATATTATCTATTTGTCAGTTCATGGACATCTGGAATATTTCCACTTTCTTGGCTATCTGAACAATGCTGCTATTAATATGTGTGTACAAGTTTTTACGTGGTCATATGTTTTCATTGTTCTTGGGTATATATCAAGGAGCAGACTTTCTGAGTAATACGCTAACTCTATGATTAATGTTTTGAGTAACTGCCAAACAATTGTCCAAAGTACTGAACCATTTTGCATCCCCACCAGTAATGTATGGGAATTTCGCTATTAAATTTTCAAACAATGAGGATGTTATAATTCCTGAAGGAGAGATGTGCCCCACACCATATTATAATAACTACATGAAGAATACTGCATTAAAAGAAGTACTGTAAGTGATCGCATTGTAAAGTATAAAAATATTGAATTACTGCATTATACACCTGAAATGAATGTAACTAATACTGTATACCAACTAAACTTAAATAAAATAAAATAAAATAAGTACTGTAGACGTCTGGCAGGAATATAAAAAATACAATGTTACAAGTCCGAGTATACTAAGCAAATGAGTTAAGCTTTCAGAGCCAATGGTCCTTTAATCATAAAATAGGGATGCTGTGTATAACATTTGTTGCAGTCGCCGTGAAAATGTAAACAACCAATACAAAAGTGCCTTCCAACACTGATAATTCGTGATTCGACCCTAAGCAAAGCATGAGGGGCAAAGGGCTAAAAGCCCAGATCCCTCCCCCACTTCCTTCACGTTCCTCCCCCGCGCGGGAAGGGTTACTGAGTGAAGGCGGGGGCTGCTGCCACCTCCCTTCTCCGGGAGGCCGGTCTGACAAGCCACGCAGGATAAATTGTAAGAGCTTAAAAAGCAGAGCCGGGTCACTTCGGCCCAACATCATTCCCAGACGAGGAATGCTGCACCCTCTCTTTAGCTTAGCAAGTCAGGGCAGCATCTTTTTTTCCTTTTTAAATGGTAACAGACGTTTATTATTGTCGAAGCAGAAAACGAGAGGCAAAGAAACACAAGTATATATGCCCCCACCCACGATCATAGTCTTTTATAACTACAATCTCCTCCAAAGGTAAACAAATATGAAATCAGATCCATTGCAAGCTCTGGAGGTATAGCGATCTCAATGGCCCTCACCCCCAAAGAATCCTCTACCAGATCCCCCCGGGACAGAAGGCGCAAAGTTTACCTGGTGGCTTCCTGCAGCTCGACCCGGCTCCGTCCAGGTTCCTCCAGAAGGGTAGTAGCCATCACCTCCTCCACCTTCTCCGGGCCAGGTGGTCTCAGCCGGGCCGCCCCCGCGCATCCGCCAGGAAATGGGAGGCGGGGGAGGTTCAGGGCGAGGAGGGTATAAGGGTGCAGGTGGGTGCACGGGCACATCTCCACCCCCAGGGCCGTAGTAGCGGCCATATGACGGACCGTCACTGGGGCCGTAGCCTGAGCGCCTTAAGGCCGACATCCGCTCCGCTGCTCCGATGCGCTTCCCGCCCCCCGCCACGGAAAGCTCAATGCGCAGGCGCCAGCCAGCGAGAGGGTTGGACAACAGTGAAGGGGGTCGGCCGACAACAGCCAATCCCAGGCTAAGTCCCGCCCCTTCGGCTGCTGAGTTGAGAGTTGAGGGGCTGATGTACGCGACTCTGGGGCCGAGGGAGCAGTAAAACGAGGGGCAGCACCGTGTTCCTTAGAAGGGAGAACACATTTTCCCACCACCTATGCAATCTAGATTCCTCTTCCCCTCTCTTTAGGGACGGAGAAAGTGTCTCCCGGGACCATACGACGGCCCCGCCTCTTCGTGAGGACGGGCACGTGATACAGGAAGTGGGTGGGGATAATATGGAGGAGTTTCCGGCGTGCCCCGGCGGCTGAAAGCCGGGGCTGAAGTGGTGGTCCTGGTCCGCGTTCCAGCCCCCGTCCCGCCGAGGGGTGACTACGGTAGGAGGAAAGAGGTATTGGACACGCTGGCCTTTCGCCACTACACATTGCAACCTTATCTCAGCTGAAAATGAACTACATGCCCGGCACCGCCAGCCTCATCGAGGACATCGACAGTGAGTTGCTCATCTCCTTCGGGTGAGGTCTGGGGAGAGACCCTCCTCCCGGACGGCTTTCTGTTCGAGGGAGCTCATGAAACACAAGGTGTTTTTAGTCCTTTCCTAGATGTTTGGTGTTGACATCCTTCACGGGAGGGAGGAGCCACGGGGACACACCGTTTGCCACCTCCTAGCCCTGCTACCGCTATTACTTCTGTCCTGCAGTATCCACCAGTTCACGGGCTGGTCAGCCACAAGCTGTAGAATTCAGTCCTTATTGCGAGAGATGCGGCTGCTGAGGCCCAAACGCGGAATTTGCCCCTCGCCCATGTCTTCCTCTGCGATATTTCGAAGTTCCAGGTTGTTACAGGTGGATGGATGAGAATATTTAGAGAAAGGATTCATCAAGAAGTGAAAATGTTAAGACGACAGCATTCGGACTTAATTGGCAGTAGACATAGGCTTGATGCTCTGTAGCCATTTGCAATAGTATTTTACCGTGAGGGTCTTAAACACTTTCAGGTCATGGTTGTAGAGACCATTGCCAGACAAGTTACTGACTTTTCTAGGAAGGCTGAGTCAATTCAGACTTCTTTTTTCCTTCTGTTTAGACAGTTTTCTTTTGCTTTTACTAAGAAGACCTTCCTTATTCCTAGTCATTGTCCTGAAGAGAACTCAGTCCTATACAAAAGAGGAGCCAATAATAATTACCCCATCTTTCCTTTTGCTAAACTCTTGTCTGTCAGTCATTCCTTAAATAACATTGTTTTTGTAATCGTTTTAATCTTTTAATCGTGTGATGTCTCATTAACTTGCAATTGCTGCAAAATGGTTTATACACAGTTCCCAACAAGTTACCAGTCTCTACAGTTACTGTGTATACAAATTAAAGAGTGAGTGTATAATTAAGCTCTCTTTTTATCTTCCGAATCAGTTTTTAAATCCAAATTAGGGATTTGGCAATTGAAGGGAAATGTGTAAATTGGATCTTGTAAATAACTACTGTACAAACCCATCTGTAATGCAGTGAAAACAAGTTTTAGTTGTCTGAGGATGCCCTCTGCTCTCACCTTTCTTGTCATGTAGCTGAATTAGAGGTTCTCACACATTCTGTCATTTAAAGTAATTTTAAGATAATTTTTGTTCTCCAGCCTTCTAACCTTTTTTGTCTTGTAGATTCCAAGCCTCCTCCTTTACCAAAAAGTTTGAAAAAATATCACCTCTCTGTGGCCTTGCCCAAAATTGCTTTCTCTAAGCAATTAGAGAGTCTGACCTCTTTGGCATTCCACTCATATGTCCAGTATCTTTTGACATTTCTACATAAGTATCCTCATAGTACTTCAGAATTGCAGACAGCTAATAACTGTCCACCCTCAGCTTCTTTTACTTCAAACTTTTGGCAAATGGTCCTCCCTGACACGATAACTCAAAGTTCCTGCATGTTCTCTAACTCATTTCTTCACCCCAGTCTCTCGCACTTACCCACATGTACAAACTCAATTAGTTGTCAAATCCTATTACTTACAACTGCATGGTCTTAGTCTTTTCTTCATCCCGCTTCTCACCTCTACCTCGTTTCAGGACTCCCTATTCTTCAGACTCTGGGAATAGCCTCAGCCACTCACCTTTTTTTGCAAGTTCAGTCTTCAGTGTTTTCTTGTGCCCTGTGAAGTCAAATCCAAACTCAACCTGCTCCAGGTTCTTTTCTGACTTCATTTCCTGTCATTTCCCTTCACACCCTCAGCTTTTCACCACACACAGCCCTTGTTTTCCTCCTGCCTGCCTAATTACAGATTTCTCTCCCCCTCCCTGTCACTCTTCCTGTGGCCAAAAATTTTCTGCCTTTCAAGGACCAACTCAGATACATCCTCCAGCTAGCGTTTCTCTCAGTCTCATATAATTAAAATGTCCTTTCTTGTGGTAATTTAATTACAGCCCAATTACAGAGTTCTTCAGGAAAGAATCATTGTCTTGTTCCTCTATTCTGCATCTAGAAAGTATTTTATGTGTGGCATTAAACAAAAGAATGAATGAACTTGACTAGCTGTTCTAGTGACTGGCTTATTGTCATTCTTCAGAATCAGCTCAGTCACCTCTTCAGAGAGATTTTCCCAGGCCACCCATTCTTCTGAAGCCACTTTCCCCTCTGTTTATCATGCTGTCTTGCTTATTATTACATGATACTAATCATAGTAGGTTGTTTTGTTTGCCATCTTCCACCAGGAATAGAAAGTCATAAGATGAGTGATATTCTGAGTCTTATTCTGTATTGTATAACTAGGCCCCAGAGTAGCACATAGCTCTCAATAAATATTATTGAATTTTTGCTCTAGCTTATTATCACCATCTTCTTTTCACATGTCTGGGGCATTGTTTTTATTGAAAATTTCCCTGAATCCAAAGTGTGAAACAGAAGCTCTTCCTCTAAGGTTGGGGGGAGACAATCCTAGAATTAAATTTCTCAATTTGCGGATACAGAAACTGGTGTGACAGTGGTGGGGACAGAGGAGTTGAGCATCGAACATTAGGGTCTGGAGCCAGCCAGGCCTCCTGGCTACTCATCCAGTCCGCCAGACTCTTTGCACCACTAACCTTGTAATCCAGTGATGTTCAAGTTTCTTGATTTCATGGCAGACATAAACTAATCACTAAAATTCTGTGACATACCCAAAAATCTATTTTTTGCTGATCTAACCAAAAACATAGTTATAATTTTGATTCATTCACACAGGACAGCTGTTGTGTTGGCTCTTACTGTTTTGTTTTTTGTTGTTTTGTTCTGTTTTTTTGACAATCTAAGGGAAAAGAGGTGAGTGCCTCTTACTAAATAGTCAGGTATTGCATGATTTGAAAATTCTTGCAGCGTACTGGTTGAAAATTGCTGCTCTGATCTAAACCCCAGACTACCTTAGTCCTCCTAATTTCCCAATGTATCAGGGTACGTTGATACATTAGTCCTCCTTCTAATTTCCCAATGTATCAGGGTACATTTAAGGGTATCCTCCCTTAAATACCTTGGAACAGTAAGCTGTAGAGCTCGAACTATCAACTTTATTTTTGTTGTTACCCGGTAAACTCACTGAAGCTAACAGCTTTCATTTTTTTAAAGATTTTTTTTCCTGTCCCCAGAAAAGCACTTGGTTCTGCTTCGAGATGGAAGGACACTTATAGGCTTTTTGAGAAGCATTGATCAATTTGGTATGTATTAGTTATACACTTCTATTGTACTGTGTATAATAAGAGCTGTCCATTGTATTTTTGGTATTTCATATTGTAATAAATTTATTTATAACTTTTTCATGTGTCTGGCAGAAAGGAATACACTTTTGAGTCATTACATCATTGTGTCCTAAATTATGATTAGATGGTTCAAAAGATTATATTTTCAAGCTTGTATTTCTAAAACTAGTTTTCACTACAGCATATGATTACAGTGTTTTGGACTTTTTAAAATTTTCTCCATTAGAGGGAGCCAAAAGACAGAAATAAACTCAGTTCACTGAAAAAGTTGCTCATTTGTACATTGGCTTGGGAGCAACTACTCTTCAAAGCAGTTCCTGCACTGACAGTAATCCCTCCCTGTCCAGTGAAAATTGGGTAGAAGGCATTTTCTGAAGCTCGTGAGGGACCCCAACATTAAGCTCAAGATTTTACACTTGGGGATTCATCAGACTCAGGAGTGTCAGTCTTTGTTTTGCATCCTACATTTTTCTAAAGAGATCTATATTGGTTTCTGTGTCAAGAAACTTCTTAGTTCATATCAGCATTTGTTTGACATCTGCTAGGTCAGTGCATTTGGGCATGAAAAAAATAAGATAAATGGTACCAATTGAAAGAAGAAAATTATTCTTAACAGGTCAGGATTCTGAATCGTAAGTCAAATTCATCGAACTACTTTGAGAGAAAAGTAGTACTGACTTTACTGTCAGATTACCAGATAATCTGGCAAAGTGAAAAAATAGGTTTTTGCTATAACATATAATTCATGGACACTTGGCAGTGGGTTAAATGAATGCTAAATACTGAAAGTTAAATCTTTGGTTAATCACCACATACACATACCCACACAGCATAGAAAAACTGCGTCCTTTTTTAAAAAAAAAAACAGATTTTTCATCTCTGTAGTTGTTTAAAGTCTTTCAAGTGCTCCACTCATTTACATTTTCTTACAGTCATGTTGATATTAGCAATTAACTAATAAACTAATTCCCCCCCATCACTTGTGTATAACTGCAACATCATCCCAAATGCTCTCTCAGTTTGCAGTTGGTTAAAAGTCTCAAATGGTGTGTTGTAATGAAATAGGAGACTGAAATTTTGGGTTTTCCTTGAATTAGAAAATTTGGAAATCATGTTTAGCTAAATCTTTTCGACTCAAACTAACTGAGTTATGGACCTTTACCCAAAATTTGAACTAAATATCTTTGTTTCTTCTCTGTACACTTATAGCTAATTTAGTGCT